GCTGGACTTTCAGGCGCTTTCGTCACAATCTTTTTTAGCTTTTCAGTTTCATCAACCAGATTCATCTTCTTCTCATTCCCATTTATCATTGCACCTTCTTTCTTCAACAACTCCATGGCCTCGTCAATATCATTCATCGGCTTACTTATCGGAGTCCCTTTTTTTGGTGTTTCCATGATTTTGGGCCCGGGCCCAACCACCTTGTTGGGGTAATTACCATGGCCACCATAGTCGCCTCCAGTTGGACTTGAGCCTCCAACACCATATCCATTGTTCTTATACACAGGAATGGACTTGGGTTTCGACCATTCGTAATTACCGTGGTCACCACCATATCCATCATTGTAAACGGGACTCTCGGTGGGCTTAGGTTTGGACCTTTCTTTATTGTTGACGGTACCATAGTCATCACCATATCCATTATTTTTAACAGGACTACCACTGGACTTGGGCTTGTACCCTTCTTTGTTGTTGTAGCTTCCATAGTCACCACCATATCCATCATTATAAACAGGAGTGCCACTGGGCTTGGGTATGGGCTTATACCCTTCTTTGTTACTGTAGTCTCCGTAGTCGGCACCGTATCCATTATTATAAACAGGAGTGTCGCTGACCTTGGGCTTGTACCCTTCTTTGTTATTGTAGTCTCCATAGTCAGCACCATATCCATCATAATAAACGGGAACGTCAGGGGACTTAGGCGTGTACCTTTCTTTGTTGTTGTAGTCCCCGTCATCAGTACCGTATCCATCATTGTAAACTGGACTAAAAGTGGGCTTGGGCTTGTACCTTTCTTTGTTGTTATAGTCTCCATAGTCAGCACCGTATCCATCATTATAAACAGGACTTGAAGTGGGCTTGGGCTTGTACCTTTCTTTGTTGTTGTAGTCTCCATAGTCAGCACCATATCCATCATTATAAACCGGAGCAGAAGAGGGCTTGGGCCTGTATCTTTCTTTGTTGCTGTAGTCTCCATAGTCAGCACCGTATCCACCATTATAAACAAGATCTGAAGTAGGCTTGGGCTTGTACCTTTCTTTGTTGTTGTAGTCTCCATAGTCAGCACCGTGTCCATCGTTATAAACAGGACCGGAAGTGGGCTTGGGCTTGTACCTTTGTTTGTTGTTGTAATCTCCATAGTCAGTACCGTAACCGTCATCATAAACTGGAGTGGAAGTGGGCTTGGGCTTGTACTTTACTTTGGTGTTGTAGTCTCCGGGGTCAGCATAAACGGTGGTAGCAGTGGGCTTGGGCTGGGAGAAGTGGCCCGAGTGAGGTGAAGCAACAGGAATGGACCTTGGAGAATCAACTTGATGCGGGGAAGCAGAAGGATGATGAGGAGGGTTTGTTCGACGTTCACGCTTCCGTTCATCATCGCTCTCGTACTCATAAGGCCTCCTACCAACTGGAACTAATTTTTTGTTCCCAACGTACTCATCAGAGTAAGCACCACTGTTATATTTGGGGACGAAAGGAGCAAATGGCTTTGCGACAGTTTCACTTCTAACAACACTGCTAGTGTTGTAGGTGGATATGGTAGCGCTTTGGTACCTGAAACCAAACAGAGCCATGCCTCTCTCCTTTGCTTTTTAACTTAAATCTCCTGCAACTTCCCCTTTTATATAAGGAAATAAAGATGCTGAAACTTTGCGTTTCGACTAAGCCTGGTACCCATCGTCTCCTACTAAAATAGCTAGAGACACGAATGCAGAAGATTCAAACTTATCGTGATGCATAAGATAAGAGAATCATATGCTACTTATGACTTGTGTGGATTTTATTCATGTTCTTACTACATTCACTATATCTTTATATGCCGCGTGTGAAACAGAAGTAGAATCGTATTCCAAGCTAGTGGATGGAGGGTTGAATTAATTAATTCCACTGGTTTTAGTGACTGGCATTGTTTTTCTACTACGTAAATCAACGTTGGAATCCGACGTAAAGAGAATCAAGTAAAGCGGAAAAACCACTACGAAAAAGGAGGATGTGAATGGATTTCATTTTCGGAGAAGAATCTGTGGAAATCTACACTTCAAAAAGTATTATTCACAGTGAAAATATATACATTTAAGAGGTAAAAAAAATTAATACATAATAATAAATTTGAAAAATTAAAGAGGTGTACTTTTTCACACTGAATTCAATGTAGGTCCCTCATTTGCTCTCGCCAGTGGAGACAGTGATGGCTTCTCTCAATTTAATAAAGGATTAATAATTTCGGAGGTTCTTATGGGTGTAGAATTGTCTGTATTTTTTTCATTGCAATTAGATTTATATAAAATTGAATCAATTTTAATCTAATTAGACTGGACGACATAAAATTTGATGTCCGGTGGCATTAAGTACGTGGCACAGTAAGGTCTCTACGTAGAATTGATTTATTTTTGTCAAAAACATGAATTCTGACACGTAACAGTTGGGATAAAAAAAATACGAAAATATATTTGAGATGACTGTGTATAAATAAGAATTCCGAAATAATTAAACCTTTAATAAATTACTTAGTAACATATTCCTGAAGTGTGACTTCACTAACTTATTCGTCATATATATGCTGATTGTACAGTTTACTAAATGAATGGAGTGAAAAATCTCCCATCTTTAAAGTTTTTACGTAACGTGAGGTATAGGATTAAAATCAAAGTGAATTTGATCTAAAGACATAAATTAACTTTTAAATATTTTTTAGTATTGTATGAGTTTTTTAAATTGTAAATTAAAATCTAAATATTTAAAATTAGTTATAAATAGGTTTTTAATTAATTACAATTATTTGCAAATTAATTAAAAATTAGGACTCAGTCAACATACCTAAATGGACTTATAACCCACCTTTGTTTTGACTCAATTTAACATGATTTCAACATGACATTCTCTAATATAAGTTTAATCTTAGTTATTTCTATCTTAATTAATATGATTTCATTTGATCTAGACTTTTATTAATCAAATTTTAATTGGTTAACATATGTCTGATTTCACTCAATTTGATGCTATCATAATATTTTTTGTTTTATGTGAACTCAATTTTACTCGATCTAGTGTGAGTGACTTATCTGAGAGTAGTATAATCTGACTTTTCTTAGTTTAAGGCTCAAATTAACATGAATCTAATTCTACTCATCATGAGTTTAACTTTATTCGTATTTTTCTTGTCTCAATTTATGTTTCATCTTAATGATTTCAATTTTGTCAATCTTAACTTGGTCAGATCTAATTTGTCTCGGTCTAATGTGTACTATAGCAAATTTGATTTATTTTAACTAACTTAACTTGATTCAAGTCTAATCCGACTTTACCTATACTACATTTGGATTTGGATTGAATAAAAATATTTCATGTATATACAAATTTGCATTTTATTTTTCGTTTTCATGTAAAATCTTCTTTCTATTTTAAAAGACTATCCATAAGTTAATCTTAATCTATAAACTTGATATTTTGTTACTACGAACTCTTTTACATATATATTTTTCAGCTCCACCCCACATTATATATTGAGAGGTCTAATGGACATCTTGACCATGTACTTTTTTTATTTCTCTTTTATATACAGAAATGTAATTAAAAATTAAAATAAGAAACTGTTCAATGCATTTTACTAGTTTTAAAAAGAAGGAAACCCTGAAAAAAGAAATCTAAAGGGTAACGATTTAAATTTCAAAATGATAGATTAGTGGGGGAAAGAATTGAAGCACAAGAATATCAAAACAGTCCTGGACTAATAAATATCCTAAATAATTCCACCCTCCAAATTAAACTTTGTAACAAATGTACTGGTTATAAATATACAACAAATTCCTAATTGCTAATCTGGAACTATAATATGTGTTGAAATCTCCTCCCAGAGGTATTAACATATATTGAGTAATGGAAAAGGATTTTCCAGCCTTAAAACCTCCATGTTGTAGCATCTTTGGGACAATGGGGACATTTGCAATGGTGAAGTCTGACAAAGTAGCAACAAATTAACACTCAAGAACACCACTTAGTTCCTGACATGCAAATCCCCTTTTCAGAAAGAAATCCAGTTACATCATTTTCATATATATTTTCTTTGAAAAATATTTTTTTAACGACTATTTTTTTATAACTGTCTTACAACCGACCGACCGCTTATGTGGTAGTAGCTCGTGATTGATTCATTTCAAATATACGAATTAATAAAATAACGACACATAATTTATTATTAAAAAATTGTTAAAAAATTGTTAACATATTCCATCTTCTTTCAAATATTCTTTCCATTATTGTTTTGTTGACTGTCAACACAACTCTTACTGTCTCTATTTTTTTATCACTTTCTGAAAATATGACTAGAATATCTTTTTTACCCTCTTAATATTTACAATTATATGTTTAATATATTTTTCTATTATTTTTCAATGACCAACATGCTCTCCACTACGACTATTCTTGGGCTTTATGACATTGACAAACAACTCGTAAACTTATGTTATTTAAAATCGAATGATTATAAAGATTTTTTCCACAAGTTTTAGAAAGGTAAGAAATATTGATAGGTGCTATGAAAAAACACAACCAAGCAACAATTACCACTAGGTCGATAAAAACAAACAATCATAAAAAAATGCAACTTGATTTGTCTTACAATTACCATATTACATGTTATCATCATATTTTGGATTTTCTAATATATATCAAGCCAAAAATTAAAATCAGGTGTGAGTAAAATAAATTGCACGGTTTAAAACTACATTAAACTAAAAAATAATTTTGTCTTGATTAAACTGAAAATTAGTTTGAGTAAAATTAATCAAACTTTGTCGGGTCGAAAGTTGAGAACCTAACCTAAATTTAAGACAGATTAGGTCAAAAGTTAAAACAGATCAAGTCACACCAATTCATTGTCTTTGTTAATTGATAATTCATGACAATTAATTTTGTCCAGTAATTAAAATAACAACTTCAAACATCAGAACACACCTGGAGAAATGAATAATGTCTTTCTTTTTTCTAATTAAAGGAAGTAATACTGTAGTATCATCATACAAGTTACAAACAGAAGGATATGTTTACAACTTGTATCAATCATATGCATCGTTCTTAAAAGTTTGCATGCTCTAACAATGAATAAATGCAAAATAGGCATAATCTGCAAACAAGTTTTCTTCTTGGCAGACACAACAGGAAGGCTGAACGTTACTTGGTATTTTCGTTAGAAGAAGGTAACGAATTATTCAATACGCATTCGAGAAACCACCCTGGGAAGTCTTTTTCATCCTCAGTACCATCTAAATGGGTTAACTTCTTCCCCCATTGACCTCCACGGCTTCCCTCAGTAATAATGGAAAGAAGGGAAATGTCTGAGAATTGAAACGGAGGATAAACCATTGCATTAGTCTCAGAACTTCCATCCATTCTTGAAGTTGTATGACTTCTTATACCAATATCCTTTCCAGGTAGTAACTCCCCATTACTGGGGGCTGCACATTCCATTCTTTGCTTTCTTTTTCTCAGCCAATCAGCGAAGAGCCCTTTCAGTGTTTCTTGACCCATGTTAACCTGTTGAGTAAGGTAAAAGTCACAATCTGTTTCCTTATATCTAAAGAAACAAGCAAATGCAACCACTTTCACAATGAAATTTTATGCAGAAAACTGCAGAAGCACACAACAGAATACCTCCAACCATATATAACTCAGTTATCCACGACATGATACCATGGACACAGGTACATGGTATACAACACATTTATTAATTCATTAAGTCATATGTTATTCCCTTGTCTCTGTCACACGAGCAACTTATTTTTCCTTTTTTAGGTGTACTCTGGCATTGATTAGTGTTTACATAAACAAATACTCCTTTCTCTAATCAATTAACCTTTGATCTTTNTCAATGTAGGTCCCTCATTTGCTCTCGCCAGTGGAGACAGTGATGGCTTCTCTCAATTTAATAAAGGATTAATAATTTCGGAGGTTCTTATGGGTGTAGAATTGTCTGTATTTTTTTCATTGCAATTAGATTTATATAAAATTGAATCAATTTTAATCTAATTAGACTGGACGACATAAAATTTGATGTCCGGTGGCATTAAGTACGTGGCACAGTAAGGTCTCTACGTAGAATTGATTTATTTTTGTCAAAAACATGAATTCTGACACGTAACAGTTGGGATAAAAAAAATACGAAAATATATTTGAGATGACTGTGTATAAATAAGAATTCCGAAATAATTAAACCTTTAATAAATTACTTAGTAACATATTCCTGAAGTGTGACTTCACTAACTTATTCGTCATATATATGCTGATTGTACAGTTTACTAAATGAATGGAGTGAAAAATCTCCCATCTTTAAAGTTTTTACGTAACGTGAGGTATAGGATTAAAATCAAAGTGAATTTGATCTAAAGACATAAATTAACTTTTAAATATTTTTTAGTATTGTATGAGTTTTTTAAATTGTAAATTAAAATCTAAATATTTAAAATTAGTTATAAATAGGTTTTTAATTAATTACAATTATTTGCAAATTAATTAAAAATTAGGACTCAATCAACATACCTAAATGGACTTATAACCCACCTTTGTTTTGACTCAATTTAACATGATTTCAACATGACATTCTCTAATATAAGTTTAATCTTAGTTATTTCTATCTTAATTAATATGATTTCATTTGATCTAGACTTTTATTAATCAAATTTTAATTGGTTAACATATGTCTGATTTCACTCAATTTGATGCTATCATAATATTTTTTGTTTTATGTGAACTCAATTTTACTCGATCTAGTGTGAGTGACTTATCTGAGAGTAGTATAATCTGACTTTTCTTAGTTTAAGGCTCAAATTAACATGAATCTAATTCTACTCATCATGAGTTTAACTTTATTCGTATTTTTCTTGTCTCAATTTATGTTTCATCTTAATGATTTCAATTTTGTCAATCTTAACTTGGTCAGATCTAATTTGTCTCGGTCTAATGTGTACTATAGCAAATTTGATTTATTTTAACTAACTTAACTTGATTCAAGTCTAATCCGACTTTACCTATACTACATTTGGATTTGGATTGAATAAAAATATTTCATGTATATACAAATTTGCATTTTATTTTTCGTTTTCATGTAAAATCTTCTTTCTATTTTAAAAGACTATCCATAAGTTAATCTTAATCTATAAACTTGATATTTTGTTACTACGAACTCTTTTACATATATATTTTTCAGCTCCACCCCACATTATATATTGAGAGGTCTAATGGACATCTTGACCATGTACTTTTTTTATTTCTCTTTTATATACAGAAATGTAATTAAAAATTAAAATAAGAAACTGTTCAATGCATTTTACTAGTTTTAAAAAGAAGGAAACCCTGAAAAAAGAAATCTAAAGGGTAACGATTTAAATTTCAAAATGATAGATTAGTGGGGGAAAGAATTGAAGCACAAGAATATCAAAACAGTCCTGGACTAATAAATATCCTAAATAATTCCACCCTCCAAATTAAACTTTGTAACAAATGTACTGGTTATAAATATACAACAAATTCCTAATTGCTAATCTGGAACTATAATATGTGTTGAAATCTCCTCCCAGAGGTATTAACATATATTGAGTAATGGAAAAGGATTTTCCAGCCTTAAAACCTCCATGTTGTAGCATCTTTGGGACAATGGGGACATTTGCAATGGTGAAGTCTGACAAAGTAGCAAAAAATTAACACTCAAGAACACCACTTAGTTCCTGACATGCAAATCCCCTTTTCAGAAAGAAATCCAGTAAGAAATCCAGTTACATCATTTTCACATATATTTTCTTTGAAAAATATTTTTTTAACGACTATTTTTTTATAACTGTCTTACAACCGACCGACCGCTTATGTGGTAGTAGCTCGTGATTGATTCATTTCAAATATACGAATTAATAAAATAACGACACATAATTTATTATTAAAAAATTGTTAAAAAATTGTTAACATATTCCATCTTCTTTCAAATATTCTTTCCATTATTGTTTTGTTGACTGTCAACACAACTCTTACTGTCTCTATTTTTTTATCACTTTCTGAAAATATGACTAGAATATCTTTTTTACCCTCTTAATATTTACAATTATATGTTTAATATATTTTTCTATTATTTTTCAATGACCAACATGCTCTCCACTACGACTATTCTTGGGCTTTATGACATTGACAAACAACTCGTAAACTTATGTTATTTAAAATCGAATGATTATAAAGATTTTTTCCACAAGTTTTAGAAAGGTAAGAAATATTGATAGGTGCTATGAAAAAACACAACCAAGCAACAATTACCACTAGGTCGATAAAAACAAACAATCATAAAAAAATGCAACTTGATTTGTCTTACAATTACCATATTACATGTTATCATCATATTTTGGATTTTCTAATATATATCAAGCCAAAAATTAAAATCAGGTGTGAGTAAAATAAATTGCACGGTTTAAAACTACATTAAACTAAAAAATAATTTTGTCTTGATTAAACTGAAAATTAGTTTGAGTAAAATTAATCAAACTTTGTCGGGTCGAAAGTTGAGAACCTAACCTAAATTTAAGACAGATTAGGTCAAAAGTTAAAACAGATCAAGTCACACCAATTCATTGTCTTTGTTAATTGATAATTCATGACAATTAATTTTGTCCAGTAATTAAAATAACAACTTCAAACATCAGAACACACCTGGAGAAATGAATAATGTCTTTCTTTTTTCTAATTAAAGGAAGTAATACTGTAGTATCATCATACAAGTTACAAACAGAAGGATATGTTTACAACTTGTATCAATCATATGCATCGTTCTTAAAAGTTTGCATGCTCTAACAATGAATAAATGCAAAATAGGCATAATCTGCAAACAAGTTTTCTTCTTGGCAGACACAACAGGAAGGCTGAACGTTACTTGGTATTTTCGTTAGAAGAAGGTAACGAATTATTCAATACGCATTCGAGAAACCACCCTGGGAAGTCTTTTTCATCCTCAGTACCATCTAAATGGATTAACTTCTTCCCCCATTGACCTCCACGGCTTCCCTCAGTAATAATGGAAAGAAGGGAAATGTCTGAAAATTGAAACGGAGGATAAACCAATGCAATAGTCTCAGAACTTCCATCCATTCTTGAAGATGTATGACTTCTTATACCAATATCCTTTCCAGGTAGTAACTCCCCATTACTGGGGGCTGCACATTCCATTCTTTGCTTTCTTTTTCTCAGCCAATCAGCGAAGAGCCCTTTCAGTGTTTCTTGACCCATGTTAACCTGTTGAGTAAGGTAAAAGTCACAATCTGTTTCCTTATATCTAAAGAAACAAGCAAATGCAACCACTTTCACAATGAAATTTTATGCAGAAAACTGCAGAAGCACACAACAGAATACCTCCAACCATATATAACTCAGTTATCCACGACATGATACCATGGACACAGGTACATGGTATACAACACATTTATTAATTCATTAAGTCATATGTTATTCCCTTGTCTCTGTCACACGAGCAACTTATTTTTCCTTTTTTAGGTGTACTCTGGCATTGATTAGTGTTTACATAAACAAATACTCCTTTCTCTAATCAATTAACCTTTGATCTTTTTTCTTTCTTTGCAAAAAAAGAACCTTTGATATTCAATTAAGTCTTCACATTTCCTTTCTCAACAAAGAACGGTGTCTTCCATTCACCTTTCTTGTCTTCTTTTCAGTGCTCATAGGAACGACAGACCCGAAGCACTTCCCAAGCGAACAGAAAGGCAGACGCACCCTAAACTAGAACACACATCCCATCATAGTCAATGCCAATCAAATTTGGTGACACCCACATACTTCTAATATAAATGTATATAATCATGTCCATGTCAATAGTAACATCATTTCAAATGAACGACAATGGTGGACCCCAAATGTAGGAAGATGGATTACTTAAGCAGAGCTGCGTTAGCTTCAATAATTATTCCCGACAACGATAGCTTCCTCAAAATTTTAGGCTTAAACTTAATTCAGTTCCAAAAGTTATTTCATACGGCTTTCTGGACGTAATTATCTCCATGAAAGCAGTTTAAGGACCCAGTTTTGCAAACATACATGTCTTAGCAGTCAGTACAAGAGCGACACATTAGATGTTTCAGGTTTAAGTCTTTCAAGACTTTTAGCTATAACAGTAATCAACGAATAATTTCTTATTTTTCCAATGTACTCGCTCAAATGTGTAAACTAGATATTAATTGGTACAATACAACCAACAAATAACATGGCAAAGACTAGTAGCAAAATCAGTATGATAAGAAATGCATGTGATTCGAGATGAGGATAAACTCATTTACCTTATCATCTTTAGGCTTGCCTACAATGTTAAGATCTGCCGAAGACATCTCAGCAGAAAAGCATTGAGGAGAGTCGAAATGTACGGACAAACATCCAAATCTGGTATCCACTGTGAACCATGGAGGAATGTTATTAACCTGTGGCAGTATGGAAAAACAAACAAATAAAAAGCTAGCCCCAAAACTGAAAAACTAATATAGTTAGAACAA